ATACAAAAATTAGCCGGGAATGGTGGCGGGCGCCTGTAGTCCCAGCTACTTGGGAGGCTGAGGCAGGAGAATAGCTTGAACCCAGGAGGCGTAGGTTGCAGTGAGCCCAGTGCGTGCCACTGCACTTCAGCCTGGGTGGCACAGTGAGACTATGTCTCAAAAAATAGGTAACATCTTAATTTTTTACCTTGAAATCTTATAATAATGCCTGTGAAGAAGGCATTATTATAGAAGAAGTAACTATGTTTTACTTGATTGAGCTTAAATATGCTCACTGAAAATGCTGGCTTATGGCTCTTGGAGATTATTGTTATGGTAGAAATAAGGAAGTATTTGTATATTATTGTACTCCTCGTCTACCGTCCTATGTGTCAGACTTCTATTTTAATACTTCATCTGTGTAATGTTGCCTCATTTGGCTATTGTAATTACCCATCAAGGTTGACGTATTATGCTCGCCTACATATAAAGAAGCTGAAGCTTGAAAAGGACCAATAACATTACCAAGATCTTATAGGTCTAGGAAATGGCAGAGCATGGATTTGAATCTAGATCTGTCATATATGTATATCGTATTCTTGACCCTAAATCACCTATTACTCCCTCTTTTTTACATCTCCTTGAGAGGGATGTTTGTATCCTACATGGTCTTGGGTATACTGAACACGTAGTACAAGTTTGAATATCATGGCTTATAAAAACACATTTTTTCTGTTAACAGATAGGAGCACCAACAATGTGATAAAATAGTGTGATAGCTGTAGTTTATCTTTCAGCCAGTAATGTGAACTACATTTGGCTCTGGGAATTAAAGAAGAGTCTTTCTTTCTCTTGCATCATCTATAGGAGATGCTGCAGTCTCATAGACGTGGACATGTATTCTTTTTCTTTTTTTTTTTTAAATAGAGGTGAGATCTCATTCTGTTACCCAGGCTGGTCTCGAACCCCTGGGCTCAAGTGATCTTCCTGCCTTAGGCCTCCCAGAGTGCTGGGATTACAGGTTGAGCTGTTGTGCCTGGCCAAGACTTGACATTTAGAGACAGGTGATGCTTGGAGAAGGCTAAAGTACAGCTTCTTGTTTGGTAATAGTAGTCACTGAGTTCACAAAGGAGCACTGCCACTGCTGGGGAAAGGGCAGTGGGATAAGGGTCAGGTGACTAGTTCATGTCCTTACTACCCATCAGTATGACCTTGAGCAAATCACTTTCCTTTTCCGGGTTTAAGTGTAACTAAGGGTTTGAAATAGATCATCAAATATTTCTGTTTCTTTTAAAATTCCTTGATATCAGAAAGGTGTCTGTCTTGGTCACTGCTGTATCCCCAACACAGTAGAGCTTGGTACATCTGAAATTACTGAAGTAGATCTCACCTTTTTTAGTTAGTAATCATAGCGCCTTGTGCAAGTTTCTTGACACATTTCCTCATTTGTAAAATGGACTTAATAGATTACCTGATTCTATAGGGTTTATAGTGAAGGTGAAATTAAATATATGTGAAATATTTAATAATGCCAAGCACATAGTAACACTCAAAGTTTGTTGTCACTGAATTAATATGTGATTACCTATTTTGTGTTTAACTCATTCAGAGCATCATAGTTACTTCTTTTTGTTAGTTTTTGGGTTTTTTTGAGACAGAGTTTTGTGCTGTCACCCAGGCTGGAGTGCTGTGGCACAATCTCGGCTCACTGCAACCTCTGCCTCCCAGGTTCAAGTGATTCTCCCGCCTCAGCCTCCTGAGTAGCTGGGATTACAGGTGCCTGCCACCACACCCAGCTAATTTTTGTGTCTTTAGTAGAGATGGGGCTTCACCATGTTAGTCAGGCTGGTCTCAAACTCCTGACCTAAGGTTGATCTGCCTGCTTTTGCCTCCAAAATGCAGGGATTACAGGTGTGAGCCACTGAACTTGGCCCATAGTTATTCTTAAAGACCCTTCAGCGAAGTATTTATTTGAATTGGCTGGAACACAGTGCAATTTTCAGAAAGGTCATAGTTTTATTCCTTGAGTGTTATTTTTAGCTTTTTCTTCCAACCATGACCTTACCAGAGAGCGAGTAGAAAGGGAAAGAAACAAAATTAATGCAAATATATTACATCTACTTGGAAAACAGTTGACACCGTATGTTATATTGATGATATGTTAGAAGAATGAACTTAATGCTTAGGAGACCATTCTTTTTTAAGGAACTTTTAGAAGTATGATTCTTTATCGTTAATTGATTCTTGGTCAGAAGAGGATCAGAAAGCCTGGAGATGTGGGTCGAAGAAAATGTCAATGATAGAATACAGGCCCACAGTCTGTTTTTTTTGTTGTTGTTGTTTTTAAAATTTTATTTTAGAAATGGAGTCTCACTCTGTCCACACAGGCTAGACTGCAGTGAGTGGCATGATCATGGCTCATGTAACCTCAAGCTTCTGGGTGCGAGCAGTCCTCCCGCCTCAGCCTCCCAAGTAGCTAGGACTACAGGCATTATGCCCAGCTAATTTTTTATTTTTATTTTTTGTAAAGAGGAGGTCATGCTGTGTTGCCCAGACTACTGCAGTTTGTTAATTCAAATTATTAGGGTCTGATACATTTGGTATTTCCAAATTTTTCAGATTTTATGAAGATAATTTAGTACATATATCATAGATTATGTAATACCCCCAGAAGGATTTGGGCACTTCAGGAACCAGGCATTAACATTTCTCTAGTCGTAATATTCACATTACATGGCATAAATAGAACGCAAATAGCATTACATGTGTAGAGATTAGGTTTAGCTGCCAAATGAGTTTTTAAACCTATCAGAAATCTAGAAATCTTTTGCTTTTCAAAGGTTTTTGGTCTGGGAATATGCAGATAAGGGATTGAAGACTTCATTTATTCACAAAAATGTCATGCCTATAGAAATTCTTGTTTAATAATACATTTTAAGTCACTGTTAGTTTCCTTTTCCAACAACTTTAATGTTTTACTGTTTCTAGATGACTCTAAATAGGAAGAATTTACAGAATTTTAAGATCAGGAGAGATCTTTAAACAACAAATAATTCAAACAGTTTATAATAACCTGTCATGATTTCTGTTGAACTTAAATTTTTATTTATGAGGCATTGGGTTAAATTAAAATGATGTAACTCTTTGTTACCAGAATAAAAGCTAATAGTTTTATTCTCGAAGGCCACGCCTAATGTCCGTCACCTTTAAATGAAAAATTACGTCACTAGAACCCTTTACTTGATTTTATATTTAAGAAATAAAGTGATACTTTGAGAGTCTTCGCTTGCTTTTTCCTTTGGTGTGTTCAGTGAGGAATATGCGCTGGTTTTTTCTGGTTTTTGAGATATCTTGTGTTTCACTGATTTGTAGGGTGCCTGTTTTTCTTTTTTTTTTTGAGAAGGAGTCTTACTTTCTCGCCAGGCTGGAGTGCAATGGCGGGATCTTGGCTCACTGCAACCTCCACCTCCCGGATTCAAGCGATTCTCTTGCCTCAACCATACCTATCCTGCTTTCTAAAGTGTTAAAGTATGAAAACAGGAACCCTAGGCCAGGCGCAGTGGCTCATGCCTGTAATTCCAGTACTTTGGGAGGCTGAGGCAGGCAAATCACGAGGTCAGGAGATTAAGACCATCTAGGCCAACATAGTCAAACCCCATCTCTACTAAAAATACAAAAATTAGCCAGGTGTGGTGGTGAGTGCCTGTTATCCCAGGTATTCAAGAGGCTGAGCATGAGAATCACTTGAACCTGGGAGGTGGAGGTCGCAGTGAGCCAAGATTGTGCCACTGCACTCCAGCCTGGGTGACAGAGTGAGACTCTTTCTCAAAAAATAAAAAAGTCATAATAAAACACTATATCATAGTTAAATCATTTTTTCTTTATTAATGATATATAAAGAAGTGATTTATCCAGATAGAGTATATGAAGTAAATATTAGACTAAATGCAATAGAATGTGAACGTATTTGATTAGAAGAAATATGACAGATTAAATTAATATTAAAGTAGAATATTTGGCTACAAGCTATAGGTGGTGCTGTTGCTCCTTATCTGATTTTATTCCTCTTTAGATGCTTTCTGTGATTATCCCGTGAACCTTATTTCTGGCTAGTCCCTGTTTTACCATCTTGGGAATTCAATATGAAATTGTTTTATTTTATAGGCTGGAGCACTGGATTTGCTAAAGGAGCTTAAGAATATTCCTATGACCCTGGAATTACTGCAGGTATGTGCTTTTATGCATCACAGTTTTATAATAGGTAGTTGTCATAAAATACTGAAACATCTTCAGTCCCAATAAGTTTTTGTACTGTCTTCATAATGGTGTAAACCATTATTAACTGCTTTTTTTTTTTTTTTACACATGGCAATATAAATCAGTAATCTACTAAGTTGCCATTATAGAGCAATGTCGCCCTTCTTAAGAAGAATAAAATCTGAATCTCTAAAGTTGGCGGTAGCAGTGAAATCTCACTGTGAAAGGAAGTTTGATTCTTGGCCCTAATTTGGTCTCCTAAGATTTCCCTTTCTTGATCTATTATTGATAGCTGCTGCCAGCATGAATCTAGCTTCAGGGTAAGGACGGCAACGTGTCACTCCTCTCCCTTTTTTTTTTTTTTTTAAGGACCAGTCAAGCATGTACACAGTTGATGTCTGGTAGACATTACAAAGATTCATTAATGAAGTCCTATTCTTTGTTGATAATATTTGTACATGTTTATTGGGTTATCTGTGATATTTGGTTACATGCATAGAATGTGTGATGATGAAATCAGGGTATTTAGGGTATTCCTCACCTTCAGTATTTACCATTTCTGTGTGTTGGAGCATTTCAAGCCCTCCCTTCTAGCTATTTTGAAATATATAATACCTTCTTAACTTTAGTGAACCTTCTCTGCTGTGGAATGTTTGAATTTATTCCTTCTATTAACTGTATGTTTGTACCTATGAACAAACCTCTCTTCATTCCCTTGCCTTACTTACGTACCCTTCCCAGTCTCCAGTATCCATCAGTCTGCTTTCTATCTTTGAGAGGTCTGCTGTTTTGGCTCTCACATAGTAGTGAGAACATGTGGTATTTGTCTTTCTGTGCCTGCCTTATTTCACTTAACATAACTCCGGTTCCATCCGTGTTACTGCAAATACATGATTTCATTCTTTTTTATGACTGAAATATGATAGTATTTCATTGTGTGTATACACCACATTTTCTTCATCCATTCGTCCCTTGATGGACACTTAGGTTGATTCCATATCTTGGCTTGTGAATAGTGCTGCAGTAAACATGGGAGTGCAGATATCCCTTTGTTAAACTGATTTCTTTTTTTTTTTTTTTTTT